GTGTATGATGAGTGGTGTATGATGAGTGGTGTATGATGAGTGGTGTATGATGAGTGGTGTATGATGAGTGGTGGTTGAACAGCTGTTGAATGTCCGTAACACGGAAGCTTTGCACACTAAACTTCCTTTGATAACATATATACCATTGTATATCCAAGATTTTGCCTATGACTGCAGCAAATTGACGAACTTGAGCTTCCCTGCTCATAGAAGGAATAGTAGAATGCGTTCTCTGATAAAAAGCACTCAGAGACCTGCAAGCTGGTGCAAATGGCGTTGGCATCGAAGTGGAGGGCATGCTTCAAACATCTTCAAAAACATTCAACATGATTCCACCCTTCAGTTCCATATTATGTCAGATGCTCATCCGCTGCAGCCGGGTAGGTAGGGTAGAGTGTGGACCAGAGTATATGTCTTCACACATCGTCACAATCACTCTTCGGGAGTCCCAAATCATTCATTGCGCTTGGCACAGGAAAGGAAAAAGGTACCAACCTTGTTATAAGTCTGTCCGAGTCTGAATCCTAGGATACTGATCTTTGAAGGGAGCTATTCCTTCGTTTCAAAGAATTGATGAAGTGTCTCTCAGCTAGTTCGCATCAGTTCGCCGTGGACCACACTGCAACTCCCGGCCTTTTTTGGAGCATTGTGAAAGAATATTATGGCCGCACCTTGCAGATGACGGAAAGCGATGAATTTGGGGGGGGGGGGTGAAAGTTCGAGATTTGGATTTGCAGACTTTTGGGTGTCTTGAGGCAGTATGTTGAGGTTAACGAAACACTGTAAAACACAGCAAAAATAAGACTTTTTGGCATGAATGCAATGTTTTTTGACAAACTGGGCCCCGACTTTCCACAAGGGCATCGGATACAAACATGACCGAGACAATGCTAAAAAAGTCGGGGGCATTCCACAGCACCACTTGCATCACTACGAGGTGCATGGGAGGCACAAAGAGCACAGAAGAGACGGAAACAAAGCAAATAAACTTGAGATGCTAATTTTTTGGCACCCAGGCCCACAAGAAGACAGAAAGAGCACAGAAGAGACAGAAACAAAGCAAATCAACTTAAAGCAAATCAACTTAAGATGAGAGCTTTTTGACACCAAGGCCCACAAGAAGACAGAAAGAGCACAGAAGAGA